TGACTTAGGGAAGGACCCGGGACGAGTTTTCATTTCGCATGCCTTTCTGTGGGTAACGTACTAAAATAAAATAAAATAAAATAAGACTGTATTGAATTTCCCTGACCTGAGCAAATTTGCCTTGTTAACAGAAATAGCAGTAACAATAGCAATATAAACAATACCATAGAACAATGCAAGAATCTTTCACAGCTCTGCAAGTTTGATCTAAACAGTGGCTTTAGAACCAATTCTGAGAAAATATATTTTATTTCATTTTATGTCAATCTAAACTCAGAAGGCAAGTCAACTGTAGACTCCATATTCACTTTAAATTATAGGCTTCCAATTCAAATATATTTTGATTTACGTGAATGTGATCTCCCTTATTAAACCCTGAGTATGAGCATGTTTATTTGAGAAACAAGGTGGGCTGTAATGGAAACAGGCCCTCAGTCATTGGCGTGAACTGGGTGAGAAGTTGTGCAGCTGGCTGGCTGATGCCTCCTCACGGCATGGGTATCTCTGCCCTGCTTCGGAAAAGGCAGGAAAGCGTGGTTATTGGGTGCAGCAATCCTAACTCTGAGACAATTTGCCTGGTCATGGATTTTCAGGCAATTAAGGAAATGGACTTGAAAATTAACTCACAGAGATGTTGGTTGGGCTCTCAGCGGGGTCCATTGCCTCTTGTCTTTCTTGAGGATAATGTATCACTGGTTCTTCAATAGGACCTGCACGGTCCAGTTCTCCCTTCAGTGCAGTCAACAAGGGCTCCCAAGAGGAGAGGCGGAAGGTCTGGGTCATCTATTTCTAATCAAATGTGTAATTTAGGACAATGGTTCTAAGATGAAAGAGCTAGAACAGGGGTTGGGGGTGAGAAAAAGATTACAACTGCTCTGAGAACGATGACTTAAGAAATCACAGTTCAGGAGATCAGAAGAATTTTCCAGAAGGCAGAATTTGGGTCCCCAAAGACAAGAAGCAGAAGAAAGAAAAAAAAACCCTAGTAATTCTTTTCATTTTTGAGACAGTCCAAAGGGTTTGGGGGGTTATAGTTATAAGAAGGTAGTTTGGTCTATTTGGGGAAAACATTTGAAGTCCCCTCTTCTAATATTAATACAGTTTCTGAAAACTCCAAGAAAAGATAGTTTCTAGTATCATGAGTGGTAGGCTTCTGTAATTTTGAGTTTGCTTCATGTGGCTGGCATTTGGAAAAAATAAAATAAATTACTTTGTTATGTCAACTCGAAAGGTTTTTAATGATTCACGTTAGGTTGCTGGATTTATTAAAGAGTCTAGTATGTAAATCTAATTCTCATTAATTTTAGAAACATTTATCAAGAGTTGTCAGTCATAGTGCCTGAAACCCAGTTCAACAGTTGGATTCTCTGGTGGGCAATACTATTTATTTAATGATAGTAAAATCAAACAAAAATGATACTATATTTGACTCTTACTATAAAAATTAATAGAATCAGAAAAAAAGCTTACTATCACAAAGGCCCTATAAACCATGACAACCCATGAGGAGGGACACATCTTCTACATAACCGCATGGGTGTTTATGTGTATATTAAATACACATGTGAGTTTCTACATATGTGTATGTGTGGAAATGAGCTCAAAAATCAATACCCTTCTCCTGATTAACTGTGGTTTTTAAACGTGAATTGTGTTCCTCTAAACTGACCTTATAATCTACTGATGGGTCTCAGTTTAAACCTTGACAAACAGGATTACATCAGAAATCCTAATTGTAAAGATAGAGGTTCCTTACTTGTTTTACAGCCTTGGTGAGCAGAAAGGCCCAAGCAGGCTTCCTGCCTGATGGTTTACCAGTCTCTGGCACATTCTCTTGCGTTATTTTCTTCTTAGAATTCACTGTCTCCAGCTGTGCTAATCCAGCTTTCTGCCCAGATTCTTATCGTCCCTCTGCTAGGAAATAGTGTCCCAGACAACATTGTCTCTAAGCTACTCCCAGATGTTTCTCTACCCCTGCAGAGTTTGGCATATAACACATGCTCAATAAATGTATGTTTTTAATGTTTTAAGCTCTAAACTGGACCCTGCTTCCACTGAGTGTAGATTCAGTTAAGGGGTGTGGGGAGCCATTGCTGAAGAATGAGGACTTGCCTTTTAGAGTGAGGAGACAGAATTCTAAACAAGGATTTGACCCAAGTTACCATGAAGCCAGAAGCAGACACTAGGCGATTGGGTTCTGGGGGCCCCATGATCTATGTTTTCATGGTGTTAACCTAACCATAACATGACTAGGCGGGGGTGTCTAGAAAATACTCCTTTCCCCTAAATATCACTGGCCCTATTTTCTGGGGGCTGGGGCTCCATGTGGCAGAGGCCACATTATTTCCACCAAGATACTCCATTTCCATTAGCCACAGCCAAAGGGAAACACACTTCCAGTTTGCTGCAGGCAAAATGGCACTGACTTCTGCATTCTGATGAAATGAATGGGAGGTCAAATATGTTCCATGTTTGCAACCAGCATCCTCGCCAGAGTCGAACAGAGAGACACAAAAATTAAGTCAACTCGTAATTAAGTGGGGACCTCGCTTAAGAGGGTTTTTTGTTATTGTTGTTTGGCCAAATATGAATTAGAAAATTTCTTAGGAATTAAACTCTCAAGAATGTACGTGACACCAAATAAGGGGATCTACAGAAAGGTTGGAGAGAATTTCTCATCCCAAGTTCCAGGGGAAGCTTGGAATTCTGTAAAATGACCAGTTCCCAAAAGCTGAGTCCCACCTTGTTGAGGTGATTGAGAACCAAGACTGTGCCTAGAGGGGGCGTTTGTCCTGGTTTTAAAGAGCAGCCCTAGGTGGGAAGTTCAGCAGAGCGTGGGAGCCATGACCTTTCTGAATCATGTGTAGCAAACCATAGGCAGAGGCAGCCCAAGCATTGCTGGCTTTATCTGGGTACTCTAGACAGGAGTTTCCTAAAGTTGTCTCTTTTAAAGTTGGGGTTGGAACATTTGGATTAAAGACACAAAAGCATTAACTAAAGTTAATTCACTGGGCTCTAGAAGCAGATCTCAGATTACTGTCACCCCAGAATAACTGTTGCCCCTGCATTCCATTCCACAATGCAAAACATCAGGGAACAGAACCCCCATGAGGGTTTGTTTCTGTTTAATGTACCCGGAGGTGGGGGTAGGGGGCTTTGAAACATTAAAGCACAAGCTAGGAGCGTTAATGAAGTTAACCTGGCAAAGTCAGGGAGGTTTGCCCCAAGTGCACCTGAAAGCACTTTGATTATGGCAACAGCTTCAAAAGAAACCGTTCCTGGTGTCTGAGCTTGGCTGCACTGAGAAACAGAATTACACCTTTATATTCAGGCTAATTCCACTGCCTTGCTGAGGGCTGAAAGCATTCTAGAAAAGTAAGGGAGGGTGATGCTCCTTCCCACCCTGACCCCTCCACATCACAAACCCAAAAGGACAGAAGATGCTTAGAAGTTCTAAGAATGTAAGGTTTAGCAAATGCCGTCAGATTCAGAAAGAGATGAGGCCCTGCTTTCTGCTAACAGTAAACTGATTCAGGTTGCACAGATTTGTTTTACCACCACACACACACATATACCCACCGCACACACACCACACACACACACACACCGCACACACCCATCATGCACACACCACACATATGTACACACAACACACACACACTCACATGCACACACTTCCTCCTGTTTCCTTTGGTTTTGTGATACTTCCGTTAATTCTCTCCTTTTTTCCTTTCCTCTGTAGCTGATTTCTGTTCTTAGCATTCCTTCCCTTTCCTTGAGGTTTTCTTTTTTGGTCACAGCTGCCCCCTAATGGTTTTCAAGCCCATTACTGCTGTGTGCGGAGGAGAGGGAAAGCGCTGGAGGGGGGAAGCTGGGGGAAAACATCGGCAATGCCTTTACTTTCCACTCTTGATAACTGTGGAATGGTTCCAGCAACTTACAGCAATGGGCAAAATGTGTGGGTGTGTGGGTGTGACATTTTTATTAATTATCTTTTCATGCTATTTGAATTTAAGAATGTGTATGAAAAATGTATTCATTTTTTGTCAATTTAGAAACAAAATAGAATCATAGTATAGAATAGGTAACTGAAAAAGAGGTTGCCTCTGTATAAGCTTTCCTGATTCTTGCAGAAAGCCAGCCTGTTCCAAGCCCCTTCCCGGTCAGTGCGCTCACCCAATACTAAGGAGTGACTGGCAGGTCAGTAAACTGTGTAGGAGTAGATATGAAGGAGGAGAGTGAGAACTAACGACTACGGTGGTGTGAAATAACCCACCCTGGAGTAGCCTCAGTAGCAGAAGGTCAGCTCCCTGGCTCCTGCTTTTCCATCACGACTTTCATGCTCAAATTAGCAGCTCTTGCCACCATAATGGAATGTGTAGATGCCTAATTAAGGCACCGGAAGTCACGGGTTACAAATTTGAAAACAGCAATACTAAACAACAACAGCAAACTCCTTTACAGTTCTGTGGGGGATCGATAGGGTGTGCCTGCACGCCAACGAAAGAAAGGCAAAGTGCTCTCAGGGAGGCAGGAGTCAGACTCCCAGAGAAAACTAGCCGGCGGGTTTAGTAAGAGAATGAGAACGCTCAACTCCGAACAAGGTTCCTGAAATATATGTGTGTGTGTGTATGTATATGTGAGTGTGTATGAAATATATGTGTATATGTATATATGTAAGTATGCATATATGTATTTGAGATTGTAACCCTAGTATCTCCAATCACGTACACACTGTGAAATTGCAAGCACATTCAACTTTGTAATGCTTGCATAATGCCCCCGTTCATATATTTCAGTATTAGGGACAAATATTAATTTATGGAGTTGTTTTAAGTTCACAAGTGAGAATAGGATTAGGAAAGATCCTTAGACCAAATCTCAAACTAGGTAAAAGTCGTTTAAACCAATCCCCCATTCACTAGGTGATTAACATCCGATGATTCACGAGGACACCCAGGTACAAGATCTTCCCGTACCCCAGGATTCTGCTGCCCTACCTGATTCCGACAGTGTCTTCACGGACTGGAGTTCCAGTGAGGAAGTCGCAGAGTGCTGGGATAACCCTGATTTCCCATGAATGTTCTGGAAAACTCATCTAAGAAAGCTGAACGAAGGCACATATTAGATAACATGAGCTGTGCCTTCTCTGGTTAAACAGACCCCTCCCTGCATTTTCAAACCCTGCCTTGGCAGCCAGAACTTCCACAGATCCTGAGATTCCCCATGGCAAATGCCCAGCTCCCCATCAAAGGCTGCTCTGTCCACACGGTAGTGGTAAACACGAATCAAATGTAGATTAGAGGATGAAATACAACCTATGATTGACCTAGTCCTTGGTCATACAAGCTACAATTCATATACAGAAGAACCAAACAGTGTGTGACAAAACTTATCCTGGGAAGAGGCAACACACAGGTATACTCACCCCAGACAGGGACCCCACAATATATAAGGATATAAAGTAAGGATACCAACCAAGTTCAGTTTGGTGAACCAATGAGTTGTAGCAGGTTTTCTTCTGGGAGTATTGGTGAGGGGTTACTTACAGGACTAGAAATGACTCAAAGACAGCTGTAGCATCAAAGCTCACTCCGGCATGTGACAGCTCACAAAGCTGGGAACCTGGAGCCCACTGCACAGCCTGCAGGCTGTTCAACAGATTGAGGAGTCCTTTCCAAGTGGCTCTGCCTGAACCTCTTCCAGGAACACTGCCTAATTTTGCAGTCTTCACTGCAACTCAGCTTCCGGCTGGCTGAGAAGGCCTCTCTCTGGGTTCTTTTGTTTATTCTGGCAGGAAGGGTCCTAGCGAATCTGGTCAGTTTCAGGGGCTTCCGGAAGCTGCTTTGAGTTGTTCCCTTCTGGTTTAAAGAACTCTCTGGCCAGCACGTTTTGATCTCAGAGGGAACCATTACACAGCACAGGTTCTCCATTACGGTGGGGAACCATTACACAGCACAGGTTCTCCATTATGGTGGGGAACCATTACACAGCACAGGTTCTCCATTATGGTGGGAAGTTGCTTTGGAAAAATTCTCCTTTAAAGGAAGGGGTTGGTGGGCTGGGTCTTTTTGATGTTCCAAAGCTCCAAATGTACATAAATTATCATAGCAGAGGGAACCTTGCATTTTGAGGAAGCTATGAAGAGGGGAGGAAGCAGACTGGCTTCAAAAACTCAGCTTGCCAAGATACTGGGACACATTTTGTTGTCGCTTTCTTGTTCTTGTTTTCATTTACAAAGTTCCCTCCTATCAGATTTAGGTCTGTGACTGAAGAAGACCCAAGGTACAGAAACACAACAATTAGGAGTAGAGAAGATTTCAGTACTTCCTGAGAGCCTGCAAGGATTCCAGGAACTCACCAAATACGGTATCAAAAAGAATCAACTTGGTGGTGCTCAGGAATGTTAAGAAAAACAAATGATTGCTTTCCAAGTAAGTGTGTTGAGCATGGGGCGGGGCGGGGGGGGGACAACTCCTATTGATCAGAACCCAGAGTTCAACGTCAAACAAGAGAGAGAATACAAAATGAGCATCTATTACATTTTAACCAAAGGTTTGCTTCTGGGACAGCTGCAGCTAAACATTAACTGGGACATAGCAGTAAATTACAGATTAAGACGCAATTATGCCTCCTATCTCCCCCTTTCAGGGAGAGAGCGTGTCGATATAAGGGCTCCCATAAGGGAGCCCCATGTGACAGGTGGTGTCTGTTGTGGAAGCATGAAACTTCTGGAGCCTTTAGATGCTGCGTTCCCAGGAGGCAGAACTCCATGCCTGTCTGGTTTCATGCCCCCTGCATAGTCACACATCTCTGAACAGTTAATACGATCTGATGAACACAAACCGAAAACCGTACCTGAGAGGCAGCTAGCAGCAACCAAGGGCTGAATCCAGCTCCTCAGACCCCACTGACGGGCCCTCCCCTACCCCAGGTCAACTTTCAGGTGGTTTCCAAGTAGTCTAGACCTACTGCTTCTCAAAGTCACAAGGAAAGCCAAAACACCCCCTGTCATCTGGGCACTTTAGTGGATATGTTCTTGGTGGGGCTCTCCAGAAATCCGAAACATCAGACCCCATCTGAAAAGTGTTCACAGAGGGAGTGTGAAGGAAATAATTCTCCAAATATCCTTCACTAGGGGACATATTGAAGGCTGTTCAGTAAATGCCATACATCAGAATTATTGTTCAGTTGGCCTACGGGTCTTGGAAACAGAATCACCTAAAATATGTGTGGAAAAAAAAAATTCCTGATGCCCAGAAATCCCTCCAGACTAAGGGAATCCCAGCTGTAGGAAGCTGATGCCCAAGGACCTGAATTTTTACCACCTGCCTTCTGTGAGTCTGATGCTCCCCAGTCTGGGACTGCGTGGCTGGGAATACCCTAATGTCCCGCAGGGGACGGCCCCATGGCAGCTTTCTTTAGCATCATCTTGAAATTTTGTGTCCCCCCCAACCCACCCTCTCCACCTAAGGAATGTATGGTATGCGTCTCTATTATTATTCCAAAATTAAGGAAAATCATGTGAGCATCCCAGGTGAGCGAGAGGCGTGGTCCGGAATCCCGGCTTCACTATTAGCTGTTTGGGGCCAGTTCTGTGTTTCTGTTCACGAAACTATCCAGGCCTTTTAATAATCGAGAATTGGGGATGTGGACACACACAGAGAACTCTGGAACCTGGTTCTTCAACCACCTCTGGCTAAAGCCATACCCCTGGCAGCTGAGATTCCTCCCTAGATAAAAGCAATGTAGACAGGCCCCAGCCGGCTACAGCCTAGAAACTAGAAAAAAGAGGTTTTTTACCTCCTTTCCACGTGCCACATGGGTTCTGCTCTGGAACCCTACGCGAAAGCAGGTCTAAGCGTCCAGAGACCAATGAGATGTTGCTCAGAGTGGGCCAGAGAAGAACAGCCTGATTCTTGAACTTTCCCTGCTCTGCCGAAGCCCTTTGAAAAGGCAGGAGCTCATCACCACGTGTAGAGGCCTTTGGTGGCATGGGCATTATTTATTGAGTGCTGCCCCCTAGAGGATTGGGAAAGACCTGGCCACTTGGAGTCCCCAGGGCGGGGAACCAAGGCTTTATCCCTGAGGCCATCTGCAGAAAATGAGGCCTTCATTCCTGAGGGCTGCAGTGAGGTCTTACTTGAAGAGACCCGGAGGCTCCCAGAAAGCAAGTTAGCGCCCCCTTTAGGACACCTCTGAAAAAAAACGAAGCTTCTTAATGACGGAAACATGATCCTGGAACGGAGCACTTAAAATTACTCTGACTTTTCCCAGAAGCCTGGAGAACCCTGGGAGTAACCAGATGCGGGTTCTCAAGCCTGAGGCCCCAAGACCAGCAGTCCAGGGCTGTCGTCCTGACGGTTTCCCAATACACGTTGGTTTTCTTTCCTTCCCCTGTCTTGTTCGTGCCCCTTACCTAAACCCTCTGTAGTGTCTCAGAAATCCTCCAGTGGGAGGTACTGGTTTGGTAAGGCTGGAGAGCAGCGCCGGCGGTGACACTAAGTAACTCTTTCCTTGCAGGCCCTCTGAGTGCAAATAGCTTTATTTGTCCTTAGATTAGACTTTTGGTAGAAGTTCAAACTGGGATCTATGTTTGAGGTCCAAAATCCAGGCTTCCCCCTCCTTTCAACAAATAATTGGAACTAGGAGTCGCCCTTTACAATTGGACTTTAAACCAGGAAAGTAAATCTGAAGCTTTTAGTGATACGGATTTTTCTCGTAAGCCTAGAAAAGCAAGCAAAACAGGGAAAAGGAGAACGAAGAGAATCAAAAGGTGTGTGTGTGTGTGTGTGTGTGTGTGTGTGTGTGTGTGTGTGTTGCTCTCTGGCAGAACTCAGGGGACCTCTGACACCTGTCTTTGTCTTCAGGCATCTAAGATTACTACCCCTGTGACACTCAGCCTGTGGACTCCCACTGTAAAATCCCCTCTATGGCGTCACTCAACTGGCTGCGAATCGCTTCTGTTTCGATTTTGTTTGGTTTATCTCCATGTAAATAACAGTTAAGTGAGAGTTACCTCAATGTGATCAACAAAGCTAATGGCAAGACCTGATAAGGAAAGAAACCAGCCAGAAGAATCCTCAAGTGCAAACCGAGAAAATGGTATAGTCAGATGTGTGTGTTCCTTGACACCCAGACTTTCTATTTCTTTATCTGCAGGCTACTAGGGAAGGGATGGCAATGTTAGCCAGGTGTGTTCTATTGAATCTTGATCATGGTAAGGCAATAATGCCTGGTGAGAGTGACAGTTGGGGATCACCAAACCACCCTTAGAAATATAGATGCAAGTGTTTCCCCGACTGTTAGCACACTTTTAGACCCTTTTCATGCCTCCACTTAAAAATAGTTACCATAATGCTATTTTCTTTCTGTCAACACAGTGACCACATTTCCTTGGGGAAACATGAGCAGAAGTAGTTACAGTGGCATTTCCAGAGGCCTTCATCTACCTGCACTATGTGCTGAAGCTTGGAGGTGTGTTGGGGGAACAATTTTATTGCCTGGAGAAAATTTTTATTGAATAAAATCGTTCCTCATTTTAAGATAAATACAAGTTAAGGGCGCAGGGGTAAGTAAATCCTTACCCAGGTAGCAGAGGAGTCTGTTTGGGACACAACAAAGGATCTGAGTAGTAAACACAGGAGTGTTTGGGGTTTGCTTCAGCTGGGGCTGACAGTGTGTGTCGCCGCCACGCACTGCTGCCTCTGGGACCACAAGGCTGAGCCGCGAACTGGTTCCATACCCCAAACACAGTCCGCCACCCAAACTCCTCCTTTAACGCCATTGCAGGTGGCATTGTGTTGAATTCTGCGTGTGTGGTATCAGTGTTTAGGAATTTAGGAGGAACAAGCATTTCCTGGGCTCTGCGGAGTTTCCCACCCGGCAGAGGTAGCGCGTCCGGAAGGGAGGGCGCTCCTTCCTCGGGGTGTGATACACCCGCAGCCCTGCACAGAGGTGCGCGGGGCGGGAAGGAGGTGCGGGGTGGGAGAGGTGCGAGGGTGTGCGAGGCACCTTAACTTTGATCGCGCGGCCGCGGGGTTGTGAACCACCACCGCCCCGCCCGAGCTGGGTGCCGCGGCCCTCGGCTCTGCGCCGCGCGTCTCCGCCGCTGCCTCTTTAATCAGGAACACAGAAGGGGCGGGCCCTGAGCCGGCGCGTAATCGGATCGCTCTGCCGCGGCTCTGACATCCACATGCTGCTCGGCCTGAAAAGGCGAGGGGGGAGCGGGAGGGGAAGCAGAGGAGGCGAGCGAGGCATCAGCCCGCAGCCCGCCCCCGGCACATCCTCAGAAGAGCAGACACTCGGCCGGCCGCTGGGCGAGGTGGAGGTGAGGGCGGGCGCCAGCGAACTCGGAGAGCCGCGCGCACACTCGCGGGCGATCCCTGCCGCCGCCGCACCCGCAGCAGCACCAGCAGCACCGGCCGCGGCCGCTTCCTGCCTCGCACTCCCCTCGAGAGACTGGCCAAGCGGGTGTAGCTGCCTGGGGTGGCTCCCGCTAAGGGAACCGGGCGAGGACAAGAGCCGGGAGGCTAGCTGCCTCCCACTCCGCCTGTCCAGCGGTCGGTGTCTGCCCGCGTGTGTGTCCCGGGTGCTGGGGGAACCTGTGTCAGTTTGCGCCACTGAGATCACACAGCTGCCTAGGGGCCGTGTAATGCACAGGGCAAGTCTTCGCTTTCATTTTTATTATTATTACTATTTTACGCTTGGCTTTCGGGAAACCCTCGTGATGTTGTAGGATAAAGGAAATGACACTTTGAGGAACTGGAGAGAACATACAGGCTTCTGGGTTTGAAGAGGAAACCGGTCCCCGCTTCCCCCAGCTTGCTCCCTCTTTGCTGATTTCGGGAGCTATCACCCAGTGAGGTGGGGATTCCAGCAAGAATTAAAGGTGAAGACAGACTGGCCACCAGGACCAAGGAGGGAAACGCTGATCATTAGAGACCTTTGCAGAAGACACCACAAGGAAGAAAATTAGAGAGAGGAAAACCACAAAGACATAATTATACGAGATTCCACAAACCTGGCCCCGGAGAAAGCCTCTCTTTCAAAAAATGGATATGCTCCCTCTTACCTGGGTTTTCTTAGCTCTGTACTTTTCAGGACACAGAGTGAGAAGTCAACCAGGTAAGCCCTTCAAAGTTTTTTCTATATTTTTATGTGGTTCCTCTTTAAAGGCGACTGGTAATGCAGAGGAGCCACGCAAAACTGCTCTGGAGGAGGCTCCCTCAATGCTCAATAATTTAAAGGGAGATCTTTACACCATCAGGGCTGTGAAGCCCAACTTTTCTCTCTTGCTAGGAGTGTGTGTGTATGTGTGTGAGTGTATGTGTGTGTGTGTTTTGTAACAGAATTTGGCGGTGTTCAGATGTCACATATGGACTGAATCAAAGGTTTAAAAATACTACAAAGCCTTTGCATTACAGTTTTGGGGATTTTTTTTTCCTGTCTTGAAGCAGAACACATCTCCCTTGAGTTTCTTCAACCTAGACAGTGAAATATAAATCATTTGCATTCCCTCCACTTAGCTACATTGAGCAATGCTAGCTGAAGGGCTTGGAGGGAAAGCAGGAGTCTAGCTTTGGTTTTCAGATGTGTGGATTCTTTTCAGGATGGGTGGGTAGCTCTCAGAATCAGAGGACTGAAGCTGGAGAAGCAATGCTAGAGATGGGGCTTTCCTGTGGACAGTTGGTGGTTCCCACTCTCTCCGGAATCCATGTGTTTTCTGGGAAAGCAAATCATGTTCTTTAAAAAATTTACTAAAAGATAAAAGAAACTGCATGCCCCGGGAAGGTCTCTCCGTCTAGTGAAGTGGTTAGAAACTTTTGAGTGGAATTTGTTCCCAAGCACTGCCAAAAAGGGTGTGTGGACACAGGCTGCAGATATAAGCACAGTGGGGCCTAGGACAGTCCAGGGCCGGCTTTTGTGGAGTGTGACAAGGGATACCACCCTGAAAACAGGTCTCTGGTCTCAGGGAATGCGATTTTTCCTCCCTGAAATTGCTCCGGGGGTGGGGGGGGGGTGTCTTTCTTTGCTCTGAGACAGTATCAGGAACTGACTGACAAAACTCTCAGCAGTCGGCTACAGGTGACTGTGGATGGGATTCCATCTACAAGGAAAATGAGAGGAGGAAGGAGGAAAGGCAAAGACACTTGGAGAAGTGTTTTTTCCTTGAGGCGCTTGGGAAGTGACCACCAGCCGCAGTGACAGGACTCACTCCCCGCAGCCACCCTGGCATCCCGCACCGTGCTTAGCTGGTTCTGAGGAGATAGCTAAGTCCCTGCCAGGCTTCTTGTTTCTTCCCCAACACACACCTACAGCCACTTATGTGGGAGATGTATGGGTTTTATTTTTGCTATCTTTTGGGTTTGCTTGTTTTGGGGGGTGCCTTTGAGACTCAAATCCAAGCCTTTGCAGCTTCTTCCCTGCGGTGATTGGTTCTACAAGCAGCTGCAAGCATGAGCTAAGGGATGGGTGCAGGTCCGTCCTGGAGAAATTTTCTGGGCCTCGCATTCGGTCTTGCCTTAATTCTGAATTCCCAGCTTGAATTGAAATTAAACTACCTCCCACGGACCTGAATGCTGCGTAAATTATGTATGTGTGTGGTTTGCTATGTATGTGTATGTGTGCACGCGCGCGCGCGCACACACACACACACACACACACACACATGCGCGCGCTCCTTGAGAATGCCCAAGATATATTATGTATTCAGGAGCGGGCTCCGGTAGGCCCGGGTGTGTGAGGGGGAGCACACTGGCACACACCACACAGACAACTTCGGGTTCCCTGTAATGTGCGGAGCGGAAAGGGTTGTGAGGACTCGGGGACCATCTCCTATCCCAGATGTTCGCACATCTGTCCCTGAGCGCAACATGGAGCATGTGTACGTGTGTGTGTGTATATACAATACCAGTTCGGACCCACTCCTGCTCTGCCACCTGCCTCCCGCGCTCTCTGCAGAGCCCCCTCCCATCCCAATCCCTGGTCTCGCTGCGTCACTTCCAGAGAATCTCTAAAGAGACGAGTGCGAAGCAGGTCTCCCACTAAAAGACCGCGGGCAGCCTCGGACCCGGGATGGGATCCGCCCAGAGTAGATATTATCCCGCTCCCCGAAAAGGTGATCGATCACCGGTCACGGTATCAATCGAGCAACTGACTGGTACCCGGAGACCTAGCCCGGGTGGCCAAGGGCGAGGCCAAACTAGACCTCTGACTCACCCTATGTGCGCCCGCCAGGAGGTGGGCTGGTCCCGGCACTACGGCGGCAGCGGGAACCTATTCCGAGAAGGAAGTCAGGAAAGAAGGTGGCGGGCACACTTGGGGGCAACTGAGCAAATACCCGGGCAGTCCCTGGCAGCTGGAAGGCGATGTGGGCACCGTGCACCCGGCTCCCAGACGCGTAGCCTCCAGCCCGGGGCTGGCGAACTCTGGGCAACTGGGCTGGGCCGCTTCGGTGCGCCCCCTCCTGCCCCCCACGCTGCACTAGGCGCTGCAAGCTTGCCGCAGCCCCTGGAGAACTGACTTGTAGAGGCTGGGGGTCTGAGGCCGAAAGATCCCCGCGATAGCCAGGCGGGGCGGCAGGAAGCCGGGATGGGATTGCAGCACGGAGGGCGGAGAGAGCGGGAAGCAGCCAGGCAGCCTAAGCCGCAGGAATGCGCGCAACTCGCACAGCCTGCGGGAGCACAGTGCGGCTAGCGCCCGCCTGAACGCACGAACAGGTGAAGAGCACGCGGAGCGGGCATCCACGTGGCCGAGACGTGGGCGCCCCCCAGCGCTCCCACACACACACCCCCACCCCCCAGAGCCGTCCCTACCGCCGCATCGATTTGTTTGGGCTACGCAGCAGAAACAAAGCTGAATAATCCATAAACATTCTATTTCCAGCAAAAGCAGAACCAAGACTACAGGCTCTACCAAATTTGCCTCCAGGCCGGTCCCCTTCTCCTCCAGACTAAGGACACCCCCGGGTAGGAGCCTGAGGCATTTCCCTGATGTTGCCCAATGCCAGAAAGTTAGGTCGTGGCTGCGGCTGTCCTCCAGAGAAGGCACTGCAGTCGCCTGCTGGTGAATTGTGCCCCCCCCGACCCCCGCTCCTGGCTGCCCGTGTACACGTGGAGAAAAAAAAAAAAGGTGTTCACGACCGATACTTTAGTTTCCCTGATTGATTTCTTTTTAATATCGACACAAGTTAATGGAGGCGAGGCGCGTTGTGATTAAACGGCTGCCCCCACCCTTCGCCTCGGACCGACTGCGTCCCTAGTAAGTCCACCAGCCCCGAGGCAGCTTCAGAGTGGAGGATAGAAGTCGAACGACTGTCCTAAGGTGGGCGTTGCGTGTGTGAGGGGGCGGAGGATTAGGCGACACTCTGGGAATCTCCGGGGCTTGGGGCACTGGAATCCGCTTTCTAGATCGCTTAACCGATCCTCCCACCCTTGCCGCAGCTTCTGCGGCTCTGGCTGAATTTCTTCTGGAAGAGAAGGAAGTGGACGCAGGGTTTATTGGCGTGGACTGCCAGCTTGGCTCGCTCCCTCTTCAGTTTCTAACAGAGAGGAGAGCCCCCTGGCGCTAGCCATTCCCCAGCAGCGCCGGGCCACGAAATTACTGTGGTTGAATGGATCCGCTGGGGCTTTAATTCTACCAGGAAATGGCTCGGTCTCTGCTTTGGGTTCTTCAGAAGGTGGCGACTCTCGGACTTAAAGTCTACGCCCCCCCTCCCCCAGCCCCGCGAGACCCATGGCTTGGGGCCAAAAGAAGCCAGACCCCGTAACTATCTCCCCCTTCCTTCGTACTCCAGGAGAGCTTTGATCTGTGATGGCCTTTAACACCATTGCCATGGACACGGGCTGACTCGGTCAATTCAACCTTCAGTCTGAGCTGAGTGATCAGATAAGAGGTGTAAATTGGCTGTGGGAGACAGGTCCGAGTTCAAATAAATCCACTAAGAGAAGCAGTGATGCTTGATGCGGGGCTTGATGAGTGTTTTAGACTGTCTCCCCCAGAATGTTCCATGGCCATGGGTGGGTATAATCATTTACAACTAAACAGTAAACTCCCGGATTACCGACAGACAGCCTACTCCCAGCTCTGGGGACCGTCTCCTGCCCTCTTAAATAAGTGCCCAGTCACCTTTTCCCCAGAAGCAAGCACTGGAGGTGGTGAGGCTGTAACCAGTTGCCAACTGAGTACACAGTATAAAACAGAGGAGAGCGCCCCACGGGGCTTCAAGGCAGGCCCTTACTTGTCCAGGATGCACCAGGTAGAATCGCGAGGGCCCAGCAGCACCTCCAGTGTGAGGTTTTATGTCAGCCCATGGAGCCCTCAAAGCATTCATGGCAAAGTGTGAGATTGGAAAACTGCCGGGACTGGAGACTGGGCTCTCCGGAAAGGGCCCCTGTTGTCTACCAAAGGGCTCCAGCCCCCTGCTCTTCAGCGGATAGTGGGTACTCTTCTGCTTCTACCTTCTAGGTCTAGGGAAAGAGTGCAAAGACCAATTCCTAGGCAATGAGGCATGAACGCAAGCAGCAGTTACTGGGGAGGGGGAGGCAGTGGGGGAAGAAACCGAGGTCCCAGATGTTTTTCATCTCATTCAACTCTTCATTAAAGCAATTAAAAGAGTGAACCGACCAAGTGAGGGACGATTTGAGAGCCAGGCTTAGTGATGGTTTTCAGAACATGTTCCCCAAAGATCCAGTCTGGAAAGATACTAAGGTGGGAGTTTGCTGTGCAGAATGCACAAAGCATGTGAAGTTAAATGGATGGGGCCCGAGTCACAGCCACCAACAGGAAGGTGGCTTTGTTATCTGAACAGCTGAATTTGAGTCCTCTTTGCCTGTAGCAGGTAAGGAAAGTAACCTGGCCAGTCCTTGTTTCCTCTGGCCTCTTCTATAAGACACCCCACCGCCTTTTCTGATAGGAACCTTGTTCCTTCTATAGAAAGACAAATTGCAAGATTGTGACTCAAATAGAAAAGCCAGTTTACCCAGAATCAAATTTACTATTATTTTGTCTTTTGACAAGCATAACACATTCAAAATTCATTGAACAAAGAAGTACTAAAAAGTGACCTCGGAGCAGGAGTTCATAGTGGCACGAACGTATCTGAGGTGTTTTCTCATCGGGCTATC